CTATGGTAAAAAAAATAACAGAAAGAAGGAAATGACACTTTTTAAAATAATACATCAGCATCAAGTAGTGTCCTGTCATATGTGTGAGAAAGTGTGTAGTTTGCTGAGGTGAGTGTATGTATGCATGCATCTGTCCATATGTCTGTCTGCTTCGTCCGTCATCTCGGCCCGTGTTTACGTGTTTGTGAATGCAAAGGACCGCACCGAGAAAATGAGTCTTGGCAGGTAAAGGAACAAGTGTTCCAGAACTTAATGAATTTCATTTGATTTGAATCTCTCTCTTTTTTTTTTTTTTTTTCCTTTTTCAAACTATTTCACGCATGGCAAAACACTGTAAATCCATAAACAAACACATAAACAGGCAGAAAAAGATTGATGCATTATGAATAAATCATCTGGGTGCTGAAACTCAATATTAACTCTGCGTTGCCTGGAGGGTTTACAATGAGATTCATCTTGATGTCTGAGGAACTAACTGGGAGGCAAGCGCTTTAGTAAGTACTTATCTCTGGAACTTAATTACCAAAACAAATGATGATTGTGGTGATATAGCTGCAATGATTCTTCATTACTGTTATTTTCTTACCTAAGGTTGTATACATAAGTGGTTTCTGTCGTCATCATCATCACGATAATCATCGGTATAACTACTGGGTAATAAATACAAATCAGTCAATCATTTAGTTGGTTGGTTAATTCAGTTCTTTCATTGCATTGAATTGCACTGCTGGCAGAGTTACTATGGAGTTTTCCTCTGAGGGATCATTTTTATTGACCTCGTTGACACCAAAACTCAAACTTTAGAATCAAAGTCGATATTAAAATTGTGATATTGACCAACATTCAGTTAACACTCCATTACTGAGGTATCTTTAAAGAAAAACCTCCTTCTGGCGAGCAAAGTTTACATTTCCCTTAGCGTACATTTACCCGGGTTGCCTCCACACGTCTTCCTGAACAATCTAATATTAATTAAAAACAATATGAGGATGGGAGGATGTCATGACTGTGACTCTCTTATAATAAGTTGGACGTCATATAAAAACATATAAAACAACTAGTGTGACATCATCCAGCTGTTTTGAAGCTTGTACCTGAGCTTTTGCTTTGCTGAAGCCAGATGTGATGTGATTGAGAGCTTTCATGCAGTTGGTACTTGTCAACTGCTAGGTGGGGAGCACAACTTAGAAAATTAATGTGATGCTGTACTAAGAAAAAAACTAGAAACTAACAATAAAACCCATAAATCACGCAAGCAGCACGATTGTGTCCTCAGACGTCTATAGAGGGACTCACCCCCTGCTTGGAAACAATGAGGATTTAATTCACTAATGCATTGGCTTCACAGACCTGGAGGCTACGTTCATCTTTATATACCGTCTGTTAGTGGAGTTTATAATTTCACTGAGGAAATCTTGATGGGAAAGAGTCACACAGTCTGTATACGTGTTTTTGACATTTATTAAGATGTTGAACACTAATGCCTTTTTCTTGGGAGGACTTACATTTTTGTTGTCAGGAGACAAATAACTCATCACAAAGCATTCGCCCATCTCTACTAAAATAAGTGAAGACTTAAGATGACAAAGTATACTAAGACTGAATTAAGATCAAGTGTATACATGGAAAATGCAAGCTTGAGGAAGCTGACAATGACTGAAGATGACAGCTAATGGTGTGAAGACTGTCTGGGCAGCCAGTGTATCTAAATAACCAGGTGCTGCGATTTAGTTTCTGCCTGGTTAAACAGTGAAATAATTGGTCAAGTTAGCCAGTAATTAGACCGGCTCTGCCGCACTGCATCTAAAAGCCCAACGACTGCTCCACCATACTAATTGGGCTATTTATACCGAAACGCACTGACCAAGCTTCCAGGCTTCCCTTCCAATTCGCTTTTCAGCACTTGTTTATTTTATTCAGTGGGTACTCAGGACACAGCTCTGGACTCTCCCCTCTCTCCTCCTCTTCTCCTCCTAAAGCCATTTTTCATTCCAGCTTGAGCTCGGTGAACTTCTGTCCTCCGCCCTCTTTGTCTTTGCCCGTGCGTCTGTCTCTCTCTTCTGTTTTTCCTCCTGTTCCTCCCTTATACACAGCAAATCCCTATTTACCAGGCCTTCTATATTACTAATCAGTGTTTTATGAATGCCAACGTCTGTGCACAGGAATGTCTCTTTCTCGTGTGAATGTGGCTTTATTTTTAGTGCTCCTCTGTCAGTGTGTTGAGATGTACATATGTCAGTCAAACCTGCATCTCCTAGGAGTGTGAATAAGAGGCCCAGCTGTGGAAACCAGACTGTCTCACACACAGGAATACTTTGAATTCTCCTTCTTCAGGATAGTCACATTTTCTTCACACTGTCCCTGTCATTTCTGTACCAGAAATGAGCTGCTACTATGAGAGGTCATCTTCAACTGTAGATCCCACCAATGGCTCACTCACTCCCAGCTCTTTTGTGTGTGATGGCTTCTCTCTATTCTGTCTGTCTGTCGCTTGGTATCTCTGCATCTGTATTCTCTCCACTTTTCTTATCTCTATATCTCCCCCTCCCCCCCAATCTCCTGCTTTTCTTACTCTTCTGTTTTATTATCAGTCTGTCTTTCTGTCCCCTTCAGGCGAACCCTCAAACCTCCATCAGGAGCAAACAAGGCTCCTTGACATTCAATTTCCTGCTTGCCACGTACTTCTCTATTGTATGCACTTTTCCTCCTTTTCTAGGACTCTTTTTGTGTTCTTTGAATAGGTGGATGGATGTGGCATTGGACGAATAGGTGGGCTGATGGTTGAATGGGGATGGATGAGAAGGGAACCGGGCTGTAATTTAGTTTAGTTTTTTTTTTTTTTTTATGGATTTTTTGGTGTCAGCCTCAGTTGTTGATGCTTTAACAGCAAGGTCACTTTGTGGGATGTTTTGGGATTTTTGGCCTTGTTCTTGACAATAGTTTACTGAAAGCTATTCGAAGGTGTCAGCGAGAAAAACAGGAGAACAAGCGTCCTTTTATTTATCAGGTGTCAGGTGCCTCGTAGCTCTTAATTGTGGTGTTAAATGTAACTGAAAACCAAGTCCTGCAAATTTCTTTTTCCATCCACCACCAATACTGCCAGCTATGACAAAATACATTTATTTAAGTTGATAGAAAAACCATGTCAGAAGTCTTTGAATAGTGTTTTGTTGAATGCAAGAGTGCTTAGCCTGAAAATCAATAATATTCTAATGAAATCATGTTTAGAATCTATCCATCCAGAGTTTCAGCTGTGCCAGATGTCATAGGGCTCCATGGTACATCCTGGACAGGTCACCAATCTATCACAGGGCTAACACAAAGACAGCCAATCTTTTATGCTTACTTTACATCTTTAGCCAGTTCAGAATGACCAGTTAACCCAACCCCATACATTATTTGGACTGTGGAAGGACGTCAGATTAACTGGAGAGAACCCATGCAGGCTCTGCAGAGAACGGCCTCAGGCTGGATTCAAACCCAGGCTCTTCTTGCTATAAGGTGACGGTGCTAACCACTGTTCCATTTTAGAAAATAATACACTAATAGTAACAATAAGATTCAGCTTTTCTTTAATCAAATGGTTACAAGTATAAAAAACTACGAGTGGGATCACTTCTTTTCAAAAAATCATAATATAGTGTCATTTACAGTGTCCGTAAACTTACCTGACCCTAAACCCATATGGAAAAGAAATAGTAAAAACATATATGATTTACTCATGAAAGTGGCCACTTTCATGAGTAAATCATATATAAATCATATAAGGCTTACATGATTTACTCATGAAAGTGGCCACAAAGTGGTGGGATCTTATATCTGTTTTCACTCTTGTATGCTTTTCATACAAGTTTCATACAAGACAGATACAAACTTTAAAGGCCTCATTTAAATGAAAAAGGAAGCAAGTAGAAATGTCTTATAATAACAGAAAACTAGCCAAATCTTAATTTGACAATTTACTGAGCCCTCAGCTAGACAATTTAAAACACATTAATTTACAACTTGTGAACTAAAGGAGGCTTTGTTGAGCACTGACACTGACAATTTATCATAATTGGTAATATGAGCCATATTCTTTATTCTTTGAAATGAATTCTTCGACACCAAAGTTGTAACCTTGGTAACTTTGTCAATGCAGTCTTTGTCTTGTACTAAAAACTCAATTGTTACAAGATTATATTAATCCAATCAGAACAGGACATCTTCCAATAATTTTAACAAAATTAACTAGACCATTAGTTTTAGTTTATTATTGGAACTTAACTCTTACTCCGCGGATGCTAGCTAGAATGACTCTGGACTTCGTCATTACTAGACTAATCTGTCATGAATTGAAAGCCAGACAACTAACTAATTAATTAACTAACTACAGAATGTTCCAAACCAGGCTATAGCTAGCTAATTTTTCTCTTTGATTAGATTGCACTCCAGGCAGGTGAAAAACTGCAAGTCAGTCAATCCAGTCTGTTGGAAATTACTTAGTAATTAGTGTGTGTGTGAATATGTGGGTGTGTTTGTGCTCATGAGCCTGCTTGTTTGTGTGTGTTTGCAGTGAGTCCTGTTGAGAGATAAATGAGTCTGGTTGACATTGTCTGGAACAGGTGGTGAAGTCAGCAGGGAAGACGTACAGACAACTCTCGTGCACACACACACATACTGGCACTCCCAATTTGACTTCAATGCGGGTTTTTTGGCTTGTTTGGGAGTGTAGCCAGTCTGATTTGATAAAGAAGGAACAATAGGTTTTCTTCAAATTACTTCCATACTGAGTGGCTGATGTATTGATTACAGAGACAGTGAACCCACATTAAGCATTCACAGCATGTTTGATTTACCGATTTATTTGCCTTTTATGAACATTGCATGCTGTTTATTTGCCTCTGTGTGAACCAGTCAGTGTGTTAAAGGAACTATTCACTCTAAAACAAGTTATTCCGATTTACACAATAAAAAGAGCACAAAATTTACGACGTGTGTGTGTGTGTGTGTCTTTTCAGGTGAGCGTAGTGCAAGACTCTGTGAATATCTCAGGCCAGAACACCATGAACATGGTGAGGGTTCCTGACTGCAGGCTGGCGGAAGAACTTGGAGATCTGTGGGCAAGCTCCAGATTCACTGACTGCTCCCTGTGTGTTGCTGGCCAGAAATTCCAGGCACACAAAGCCATATTGGCAGGTGAGAATATCCTTTGTCACATGTGTAAGAGGTTATTGCTACAGCTTTATATTTAGCCTTCAGGTGCTAAAACCCAGCTGGAAATGTTGTTTAAAGCAACACACTTACTGCTTTGTGTTGTCTGTGAAGATAAAATGCTTTTAATGAAGTTTATGATTGATAAATAAATTAAGACATTTAGAATTTTTTGTGGTCCAACTTTAATGTCTTCTTTGCAATAGTACATATATTAGGTTTCATTTCATGCGCATAGTTTTTATAGTAGTTTCGTTTTATTGGTGAGAGACAAATTATCAGTTAAGATTGTCAGACAATAATTCTGGAAAAAGAGGGAGAGTAGAGCCTAAAGAAGAAGCACATTAAGGTCTCCAGATCTTAGTCCTATAGAAAATTAATTGACAGAGCTGAAACTGAGTTGCCAAGCAATAGCAAAAAAACTCTTGAAGGATTTAGAGATTTGGGAGTGGAGCAAAATCCCCCCTAAAATATATCCATACCTGGTGACCACCAACAAGAAACAAGTTTAAACCCCAATATATTGTGTGTAACACCAACCCAACTATAGATAAATTATTGATATAGTCATTGATTGACACTGATTATTTGTGAACTAATGTTTTGAAGCTTCAACATCAGCTTGTCATCTTTATTTTTTGGAAACCAGAAGTGACAATAATTGGACAAGAGGGTGGAGTCTGAGTTTTCAGCTAAGCCTGGCAAGCCTGGTTACCAGGATGTATTCTTCTGTGTGTTATTTCATGAACAATTCTTGGATTGTCTGTCAGATAATTGTATTACAAACTGTTTAATTTTGTTTTTTAAACCAGCCACAAGTGCCCCTTTAAGAAACTGCAACACGTTGGCTTCATTTGACACCACCGAGGTTTCCGTTAGATAAAACATGACTGATTGTTGCCTGGAGCTGCCATGTTCATTTTATGAACATTCAAGTGACTTGTTTTAATCAAACTTTGCATCAATATGACTTTGGAATCAGCGGGGGCTGAGAAAACAATCACACCATTGTCTAAAGTACACAGTGATATGCCATAGGCAAACTATGGGCAAACTTTCTTTGCAATGTTTGTTTTAATCCTAACAGCCAGTGTTGTTAGACTAGTGGCAACATTTGGTTGATTGTTCCCAGGAGTATACTTGTCTTTTCTTTTTGACAATGTGTTTTTGTGCACAGTACTTCACATTAAACACTGATGCATTAAATTCATTTTAGGATTCTCTTTTTTTTGTTTGTTTGTTTGTTTGATGGTCGCACATGCAGTCATTCATGATGCTTCCTTCAAGATTATTTACTTGGGCAGCTCTCTACCACTTTCAACGTGTCCTTTTAAATTCTTTCCTGGAAGTTCTGACCATTTATCACATTTGTGGTGCTTGCTTTCTTTTCCTCTTTGTATGAAGATGGTCACCCCCGAGCTGAATTAAATTTTAGAGAAGAGGATGAAGTTGCATTGATATAAATGGGGGTCTAATACCCTGTTGTTGTTGTAGCCCCCCAAAAATCAGCCTTTTTGGTAAGCCTGATGTAGGTGCGCTATGGCACACACTCCGATTTAGTAAATTTCTGCCATGCCTTAGGTTATTATAGACTACAAGAACCATGTTTCAGGTCAACTGATGACTTGTGACTAGGGATGGGTATCGTTTAGGTTTTATCCGATACCGGTGCCAAACC